CCCCCCCCCCACAAAAAAAAAATTTCTATTTTCCTTCTTTTTCTCTATTCATGTGAGGGAGGGGATGAATCTTTATAGATTTGTAGAAAATCTCCTTGTGCATAGTGTTATTTAATTGGTCCCAAATACCGCCACGTTGGCAGCCATGTAGGCCATACGTAAGGACCATGTAACTCAATTTGGTTGGAATTTTGGCTTCGGCCAAAATATAGGCTAATTTGTCACCTAGTCTACATAATATACCAAATTGCCGCCGGTTAAGGAATATACCAATGTGTTACTAAGGGTCAACAAAATACACCAATCTGGTAATTTTGCCGTTCAAAATCACACAAGACCTCCCAATAACTTTTGAAGCAAATTTCCAATAAATTTTGGGTAAATAACACTAATCCTCCATTAACTTTCAAAACACATTTTATGTTGTTTTTTGGTTCTAATTTATGGGGGTTATCTACAAAATTCAAAACTTAATTGGGGATTTTATGCAAAATGCAAAAGTTTTTTTTGGGTAGTCGATATTGAAAGTTATTGTGGATTTACTGCAAAGCAGTGAAAGTCCTTGGGGGTTTAGTATAATTTACCTTTTCCCTTAATATTTTCTTTTCTTGGGTTCCTGAGTTTTTTTTTTCTTTTCAATTTTAGCGTCTTAAGTCATTGAAATTGATATTGCAAGAGAAACACTAATCTCATGCTGACTCATTTGATTTCAACGACTACATGGAAATTTCAAAAGTTTAGCGGACTAACAGCAAAAACATTAAGGGGTTGTTTGGTTCGTTTCCTAGATATAAGGAAATGCATTTCTATATACAAAAACATAAGTTTTGAGTTTTTTAAACTTTTCCAAGAAATAGATTGTTTCGTTTTAGTTCGCAAAAAAATGATGAGAAACCAATAAATTTATTTTTCTTGTGTTTGGTTCGCATGAAAAAAAAGAGAAATTTTTTGTTTATATGGCAAAAAGCTGACGTGGCTGCAATTTTCGTCGATTTCACGAGGTTGAGGAAGGAATTGGGGGAGAGAAAAAAATCTGATGTGGCGGCGATTTTCACCGAGTTTCCTTTCTTCAACCCTAACGAACCAAAGATGGGAAAAAAACCCGACGGAAAGCTTATATCCTAAATGATAAGAAAATAGCTAAAAGAATAAATTTTTTTAATTAGGACAAAATTAGCAGATAAATCCTAAAACGGCATATTCCTCCAAATTCTTTCTCCTGTTCAAAAAATAAGATGATTAGCGGCAACCGGAGCTCGCGTCCAAAATCAGCACCAAGTTTGAGTAGAACTCCATCCATTTCTGTATACACACCAAAATACAGTCTCCGTGGGCCCCAAGGGTGGCATAACGGTAAATACGGTCCTACTTTCGCAATAAAAACACAGGCACCCTGGTCCAAATCTTCGCTGTGCTTGTGCGAGCCATTTCGAAAGGAGAGAAAAGAGCCCCAATTCCATGGCGATCTCCAAAACCCTAACCCTAGCTTAGCTTCTCTCTGGTCCCAAATCACTCTCTTCTCAATTCAACTCAATTGCTGTAATAAGAGGAGCAGAGTTAAGAGAGGGAGGGAGGGAGAGAGGGGAGAGAATGGAGAACCCTAAGAAGTCTCTGCTCCGGCTCAGGCTTAGGGTTACGGCGAAGAAGAGGGGGAGGGATCCGAGCAGATCCGGCGGCGGCTCCGCCCGAAAGATCCAGAGGGAGTGCGTGAATTCGGTGAAGAAGCTGCAGAGGCGGGAGATCGGAGGGTTTCCGAGGATGGCACGCGGGGCTTCCTCAAATGCCCCTGAGAAGTTTCGGAATATCCAGCTCCAGGTCAGTTCTTTTCATCTGTTTGATCTTGGGTTTTGTGTTGATTGGGAGAATAAGGGTTTGAATTTCTGGGTTCGGGGTGTCAAATTTAGTTGTTAATTTGGAAATCCTTGAGCATTATTGGTGGCTATGTTGTATTCTAGTACTCCAAAGTCCAAACTTGTAATTGGGGGGTTTTTCTACTTCCCTTGGGTTCTGAGTCCTTCTGCCTAGCTGTAATTATTGCTTCCCCGGGGGAAAATTTGTTCTTGGAGGCGGAAGGTTGGTGAGTTTAGTTGATTGATCCTGTAACTGTGGTTATTTATTATGAGCTCCATTGCTCGTGAGTTTTCTCTGGGAACTATGATTGGAATCATCAGGATTCATGGACTTCAGTATGTTATATTTCACATCTAAAACATGTAGATACTTACAAAGGTACATCAGTTAATCAAAACGGAGCTTCCCCTTGTAGGAAAATGCAAATCCTCACCATTTTCAGGTACAAATCCAAGAGGGGGGCGAGAAGTTTACTTTTAGGGTCCATTTAGTCCCACTTCAACTATATGGGAGTTTGATTTGGGTTTACAAGGGATCTAGGATCTCTGTCTAACAACTAGCTTTTAGGGGCGAGTCCTCCTTTTTCCTTTCCAAGTGGTAGCAGAGCCAACCCTACCTTCCCGGTTGCATACGAACGGCATGAATGGTGACATTGGTGTTGCAGTGTTTGACAGGGACTTGACCACTGCACAGCTAGCCTTCATGGGCTTTGGGTCTGGAAGCGTGGACCTTGGTGATATGTTAGGGTCTATTTAGTCCTGTATTGACTATATGGGAAGTTAGATGTCAGTTTATAAGCGGGTTTAGGCTCTTTCCCTCTAACAACTAGCTTGAAGCGGGTTTTTCTAGGTCTTTCCCTCTACTCTATTTTTAAGGGTAAGCATTGGTGCATAAATCTATTGAAAGATCAGAAATGCAGATCAACTTTAAAGCTCGTGTTGAAGTTATTAGGAAGTCCCAAAAATCATTATACAGAGGAATTAACATGAGCACAAAAATAGATTCCAATTAGGTCATTCATAGGTTTCACTCGAAGCTAGTAGAATAAGGCATGTTGACCAATGGTGGTTGACAATCCAAAGGAGCATAGCATATTTTGTGTTGGTATTCTACTCGTTATGCCTCATTTTTTTTGTATATGTAAACATAGACATCTACAAATAAAATTGGTGTTACTACTGGAAAATAGAAGGTGTGGTGATGATAATACATTGTAGATCTTTCCAATGACCTGATTGAATCCATTAAATTTGATGGAAAAAAGAGAATATTTTTAATCAAATAGTTGAACATAAAATGACCTAAATAACGAAAAAGAGATAATTATGTTCTAGTCGAATCAAGATTCAGGTTCAACTAATAAGAACAAACTTACTCAGTGATGATTTATGAGTAATGCGTGTGACATGCTACTTCATATGATAAGCGGTACACAAGGAGTAATCAGATGATTCTTGGATTCACAATCTAGTTGTAAGCATTTCTCAGACATTTAATAATTATGCATGTACCTTTAAAAACATGTTAAACAAAGAATTATTATAATAGAAACTTTCATCTTTTGTAAAACATAGAACAAGCTAGTTTAGCTTGAAACTCTATCATCAACTATATCTGATCACCATAAAATAAACCACATTACTAATATGTAATTTTGAATTAGCCATAAAACGAGCCTCATTTACTTCATATCTATTGTTCCTTTAAAATTTGTTCTAACTGCCAGGTTTTCTGATATTACATTATATTTGATCACCATTTTACTGTCTTTATTAAACTATGTGATGTGATATGTTTGTCACAGACTCACACGTGTTGGCATAGAAACAGAATGCACCTTAATATGTGAATTGCACAATCTGTTGCTTATTGCTTACTTTTTTAATGGCTTTATGGTTACACTAGTTCATATTTTCACTTTTGGGTCAACGCAGGAGGAGTTTGATACATACGATCACAACGTTCATTGGTTTCTGAAACTACAGTTTCTCAAGAAACGATCTAAAATCATTGAGATTGTTGCAGCAAAAGATGTTATATTTGCTTTAGCTCAATCTGGCCTCTGTGCGGCTTTTAGTCGAAGTAAGCCTTTCACAGACTGTTTTTTGAAAATTTTACTTGATTCTGTTTAAGCCTTCTGCAGACTGTTCTTTTGAACTTTTTTTTAGTTGATTCTGATTGTTGCTGGTATTTGTGTTCTTTTGTTGACAGCAATAAACAGACGTATATGCTTCTTGAACATTAGCCCTGATGAAGTGATTAGAAGCCTTTTCTATAATAAGAACAATGATTCACTCATAACAGTATCAGTTTATGCATCGGATCATTTTAGTTCCTTGAAATGCCGAACTACCCCAGTAGAGTAAGAATCCTTTTTTTCATGCAAGCAATGCTTTTCAATGGATATTATATCTCATTAGTTTCATTAATGTATTTTTCCATTCCATCTTGTTTGGTACTTGGTATAACACGATAGAGTTCCGAGAGCTCAAATCTTATATGAACATAAAGGAAAAAAGAAGAAGAAGAAAAAAGTAACTTTGCTTGTGGTCTTTTGTTGTAACCTCATTGTTACATCCTTTAGAATAAAATTTAAAATTTTTAAAGCTGGTTGTTTGACAACAATTATTTTTTGCTGAGCTGATAAGTCGTAATTGCTTGTTATCTTACTGAAGAAATCATCTTACCTTGGAGTTCATGGTCTATTTTGTTTTAATTTTTGAAACCAAGAAGCTTTTAGATCTCTAACTATTCTTTTGCTTGAATCTAACAGGTATATCAGGAGGAACCAATTAGATGCTGGATTCCCTCTTTTTGAAACAGAGTCCCTTAAGTGGCCTGGTTTTGTTGAATTCGATGATGTAAATGGAAAAGTACTAACTTATTCGGCCCAAGATGGGTGAGTTAACTTATTCCGGTTTACCATTTTTTCGCTTTTGGTTTGTATTGTCTATGTGGTCAATCTGACTTCGTGCGCTTTGCAGCATCTACAAGGTCTTTGATCTAAAGAATTACTCATTTTTATACTCAATATCTGATAAGAACGTGCAGGAGATCAAAATCAGGTTTCGTTATTTTTGGTGGTAAAATTTCTGTTCCCTTTTACGTCAGTTGATCTCTAAATAGAAATTTCTGTGCACAGTCCAGGAATCATGCTGTTAATATACCACAGAACTCCTGGTTATGTTCCACTGAAGATACTCTCCATTGAAGATGGAACAATATTAAAATCTTTCAATCATTTGTTACACCGGAACAAAAAGGTTGACTTCATTGAGCAGTTCAATGAGAAGCTCTTGGTCAAACAAGAAAATGAGAATCTCCAAATTCTTGATGTATGTATCCACAATAGACTTCTTATGTTCCCTTTGAGAATATATTAATTTTGTTTTATTATAACTAGAATTTTTTTTCCATGTAACTAGTGTTTTATATTATTGGAATGTGGCTTGGTATACTTTATGGTCAGTGCAATAGGAATAGTGGGGAATGGTTTTTTGTTACATAGATCCTAATTGAACTTTTTCGTGGATTTGTTTGCTTCTTTCTAGGATCTAGTGATGTTATTGTTAGTAATACGGAGGGCGTTTGGGAAGACTTATTTTTGAAAGCTTATAAGCTATGTTGGCTTTTAGTTGCTTTTAGCTTTTATGATAAAAATACTATAAAAATTGTTTCTGTAGAAGAATTTGTCTGGTCAAACTTAGCTTATACAGGTGAGCTGATAAGCTAGTTTTTTAAAAGCTGGGGTACACCAACTTTTGAAAATGACACTTATAAGCTATCTTATTTATTACTTTACCAAACAGGTAGAAATGAAAAAAGCTAGCTTAAAAGCTAGTTTGAACAAAAAATAAGCCTTCCCAAACACTTCACAAATTATAGCTCGCTCATCTTTTAATGGCTATTTTATTGGAGGTGTGGCAATGTTTGTTTCCTTTACTTTCAACTTGAGAAATGAAAATTGGGATTTCTACGTAACTAAACCTCACTATATTAGGGTTTAAGGAATTACATTCATTTACTTGGGTGTTGTCAATCATGCTTGTACTCCATGAACATGCTTCTAAACTCTTGACTGAAATCGCTGAACTTTTTTTTGGCCAGGTGAGGAATTCAGATCTGACAGAAGTTAGTAGGACAGAGTTTATGACCCCTTCAGCATTCATCTTCCTTTATGAGAACCATCTCTTCTTAACGTTTAGAGACAGAACTGTGGCTGTTTGGAATTTCCGTGGAGAACTTGTCACCTCCTTTGAAGACCACTTGCTGTGGCACCCAGACTGTAATACGAACAATATTTACATCACAAGTGATCAGGATCTTATAATTTCATACTGCAAAGCGGAAGAAGGATGCGAAGATGATGGGGAAGGTAACTTCCAAAATTTGGTTCTCCACGGCGTACATTTGACTTAGTGGACCATGGCCCCTGACTGCTAATAGGGAGATTTCACAAAAAAGCCCTGAACTTTAGAAGGTTGGCACAAGATGTCCTTAATGTGATAAATTATAGAAAATCCTTCTTTGTCCCACTTGTAACATGACAGGTCTACTTTAACTTGTCATGCGGACACATGACAACTTTTGGTCAATTTTTTCTCCATCTGCTAAATGTAACTTATATATTATCCTTTCTGGCAAATTATATACTCAAACCATTTAGCACTAGTTACGAAAATTACCAATAGTTCAAGAGGGTTTAGTTATACTTTGAAGGTTCAGTGGGGGTTTCTATGATTTACAAAGTCCATGGAGGTTTTCCTAAATCTACCCTTGCTAATATTAGTATCATCACCATCATTATCACAAACGATCATCATCATCATCATGATGCTCATGAATATCACCCATTGTCATGATTCTCATTCTGCGTGCCCATATTATTGAAAAGTGAATGAAACATAGAAATTATCTGCTCCAGTTTCAGCTGTCGGGTCCATCAACATGAGCAACATATTGACGGGTAAGTGCATCGCCAAGATATGCTCGAGTGATACAACACTGCAGATAAGCCCTCGCCGGAGAGGTGATGGTGGCAGGTCTTCCATCCGTAGCACGGTCAAGGAGGCTCTTGAGGATGTAACGGCCCTCTTCTACGATGAGGACAGGAACGAGATCTACACCGGAAACAAGCAAGGTTTGATTCATGTTTGGTCCAATTAGAGCTCTACTTATCTTTCTGGAGCCAACCTTAATTTGTAGCATACGTAGGCAGCTGCTCATCCCCAGGGGAAAAGGGGTTTGTGTAAGAGCATGTACGAGTCTGTAGCCACACAATGTTTTGAAATTCTTGTGTTGTCTTTTGTGCTCTATGTTATGTAACGTGTGTGCCATGTAATTTTATGCGCTCTGTATTGCTTTCCAGGAAAAAGCTGTGTTGTGCCAAATAATTTAAAATCTCTTTTTCCATCAGTATTCTTTTCTAAGTCCCTTTTTTTGGTTGTTGCCTTTCCTAGCATTTGGCAGCGTAATTGAGATTTGATGATATTTGCACTTGAAGGATGAATTGGTATATAAGCCCATACCAGGTTGAAAAGATATGGCTCGGTATC